CATTCTGGCGCACAGAACAGTTTTTTTTAGAAATTTTTTTAAACCAAAAAAAAAAAAATCGGGAAAATCCACGAAAAATCACCTCAATTTCGTTTCTGTAAAGATCAAGATGTGCCAAGTTAACCAGTTTGCCAAATTCATCCGGTAAACAGCTGATGCGATTATTGCTGAGGTCTAACTTCGTGAGGTGCGTAAGATAGCATAGCTCGGTTGGAATTATCGATATCAAATTGTTCGAAAAATCGAGATGTGTCGCCCGCGGTATTTTACTCTGAAACATAAATCAAAGTACTATAATCGATTACCGAGAGAACGAACTGCACAAGTATCGAAAGTAATAGGACGAAAAATATGGCACATCCAACATTTCTCATCAAAAAAACGAAGAAAGTAGGCAAAAAGATGTCTGAGTCACCATACGTATAATGAATATAAGTTTATGCAACTCTACCCACAACGTATGAGTTGCCAGATGGTACCAGACTTGTCCTCTCAAAGATCCTCGTTAACGTCTTTAATTGCCTATAATCGGCCTCAATGAGAACGGTCTCGTTATTTTTCGTCACTACCTCCTCATGCTGAGAGTGGGTAATTTGCGCGCCTGCTGCCTTCCTTGGATATGCGCCAGCGGATATGAAAGAACTGTGCGAAAAAAAAATAAATAGCAACGCGCACCAGACTAGCCGGTGCGACCATGCGTTTTGTGCAATTCATCGAACGATTGCCTATTAATGATTTTCATTGCTTTGTACTTTTATTTATGCAAAAATAGTTCAAACATTGGAAAACAGTTAAAAATTTCACACACCGGCGTATGAAAGCTGAATTCGAAACCCTGAAGGGTGAATATCTTCCCGTGATTCTCCAGTTAGCATTTTAACCGCCAAAATTCTCACGAGGCCGTAGGTGATACTCAACAGCGAGGTAACGTTGAATTTGAATAGGCAAGGTTGAGCGTGGGCAGGGGGTCATTACCCTAAAATCTCAGCCTCCCAGACTCCGTGGTTCCCGAGATATTAATTTACCCGTAAAAAACTTTCACGTAGCCGTACATGTTACCTGCGGGAAGGCTGAATTTAAATTTGCAGGGTCACAATTGGGTGGGGGACGTTCCTCAAAATTTTCAGCTTCCTAGCTTTTCTGGTCCCCGAGTTGAAAGTTGCAGACAAGTTGCTGCAGACACACACACACACACACACACACACACACA